ACAAATAACCCAAATTTAGGAGACAAACTTGTAAAGAAGTTTCAATCTAACTTGGACCATTAACAAGTCACACAAGAGATAAGGAAAGGAGGCCAGAATACAGTGGAATCCCTGTTTTTATCCAGCCTGGTTATTGTCCAGTTCAGTCTTTGACCACTTTTTTCGGCGAAATTTTCCCAGATTTCGTACATCCACTCGGAAATTGTCTTTACCAGACGTGTCTGCCTGCCTGAGGGACACAGCCGCTCATACGTTCATGACTCAGTCTGCCTCTGTTACTCGTAGAGGGTGGTCGTGATAACCTCTCTTCTCCTCACCGTCTTCCATATGCCAGCAAGATTCTTCAATAAAGGTAAAAGGATTGAAATGTTTATTTATCCATTTCATTAGTCTTTTATGTATATTTATTTCTCATTGTTTTCTGTATGTAAAACTGTAGTTATTTTCTGTAAGATGTATTTTTTGTTAATATTTTTGGGTGTCTGGAATGGATTAATTGGATTTACATTATTTCTTATAGGAAATATTACTTCAGTTTTCTTGCAGTAAGTTTTCAGCCGACCTTCTGGAATAGATTAATGGCAAAAACTGGGGTTCCACTGCATATAGAAGAGGAGTGGGGGAAGGCAGTGGTAGAACGGTAGGAGTCATAGTCGTGGGTGGTGAAGTAATAGTGCAGCAGTAGAAATAAATAATGGCGGCGGCGGCGGCGGCGGCGGCGGCGGCGGCGGCGGCGGCGGCGGCGGCGGCGGCGGCGGCGGCGGCGGCAGCGGCAGCGGCAGCGGCAGCGGCAGCGGCAGCGGCAGCAGCAGCAGCAGCAGCAGCAGCAGCACACCTACCATCCGACTTATGACCTGCTCGACCTACGACCACTCGACTTACGACCGTGCTTTTGTGCCAAATTTCTGGGAAATAAACAACTATTTGTGTTGTACACAGTGTTTATCCTAAACCTTACAGTATAAAATACAGTACTAATAGCATAAAAAGTAAAGTAAAACATGAAATACCAAAATAAAACAATAAAATAAAGTTATTACAAAAATGTTCTGTTGATATTCAGTAGTAAAGTTCGACTTACGACCATTTCGACTTACGACCGGTTTCTCGGAACCGAACTCGGTCGTAAGTCGGATGGTAGGTGTAGTAGTATTAGTAGTAGTAGTATTAGTAGTAGTAGTATTAGTAGTAGTAGTAGTATTAGTAGTAGTAGTAGTAGTATTAGTAGTAGTAGTAGTAGTATTAGTAGTAGTAGTATTAGTATTATTATTAGTATTATTATTATTCATAAAATGGGATCAAATACAGTGGAACCTCGGTTTTTGTGATTAATCCATTCTAAAAAATCCGATTAAAACCAAATTGTACGAAAACTGAAGCAATATTTCCCACAAGAAATAATGTAAATCCAATTAATCCATTCCAGACACCCTAAAATATTAAAAAATACATTTTATGGAGAATAACTATAGTTTTATATACAGAAAACAATGAGAAATAAATATAAATGACTAATGAAATGGAAAAATGAACATTTAACATCACTTTTACCTTTATTGAAGACTCAGGAGGGGAGAGGGAGGAAGAGAGGTTATTGTTTGGAAGGGGAATCCTTTTCCATAAGGACTTCAGGTATCAAGGCCCTATCCGGGGTTACTTCCCTTCTTTGTCTTTTACTGGCACTAGGACCAGTTTGAGTCACTGTACCCATGTCGCACAAAAAATCTGTTCGGAGAGCTCTGTTTCTAGCATCTCTAAGATTTGCCTAAAATGGGACAAAGCACTGTCATTGAACATGTTACAGACACGGCCTGCAACAGCTTTGATAGGGTGATATTTCTTCACAAAACTTTGCAACTCACTCCACTCTGCACACATGCCCTTAATCACTGAAGAAGGTACATTTTCCCCTCTCTCTTCCTCCTCCTCCTCTGAAGCAATTTCCTTAGCTGTGGTCTGTTGCTGTTCCAGTTGAAGGTCTTGCAGCTCTTCAGTGGGTAGCTCTTCCCTGCAGTCATTCACCAACTCTTCCACATCCTGGCCACTCACATCCAACCCCATGGACTTCCAGAAAGACATAATATTCTATCATGTTTCTCGCCTTCTTTATCAAAGGGCTGGCACTCGGAACTTCCTTTGGCCCCATGGTGGTTTATTTAGCAGTTGCACTCGATAAACGAGCACAAAAAACATTGGATTATTACAGAATGTTTCGGATGAACCTGCAGGTTGATGTTCACTCAATGAGAAACAAAGGCAGACTGAGTCACGAACACATGGGACGCTTTGTGTGGGCGCTTGAGTGGCCGAGTCACGTGGACGCGTTTGGTGCGGACCATTTTGAACTGTACGAAAACCGAGCGGTTGTACAAAAACTGGGACAAAATTTCGACGAAAAGTCATCGAAAACCGAATCCTACGAAAACTGGGGCATACGAAAACCGAAGTTCCACTGTAATTGTAGAGTGTGTAGTATTAACTAGTAGCCGTAGTAATAATAGTGGTTACAGTATTAGTAGTATCAGTTGCAATTTTGCAGAAGTGGTTGCAGTAGTAGTGGTTGTTGCAGTAGAAGTATAGTAGCAGCTACAGTAGTAGTAGTAGCTACAGTAGCAGCTGTGGTAGTAGTAATAATAATGATATTTATTTCTACAAGTACAGGATCCAACTTTTACAGACTTAGCTGACATATAACATACTACAGTGGTACCTCGAGTTTCAAACCCCTCCCAACTTGAACAATTATGCAAGTGTATTTTTGCAAGTCTATTTTTGGGGGTCTGAAATGGACTAATCTAATTTACATTATTCCTTATGGGAACATATTCATTCAATATCAGCACTCGAACAGCCATCTGGAATGAATTAAGTTCGTAACTCGAGATACTACTGTATATAGAAAGCCACTGGTTATGCAGAGCATTTCAGGCAAATTAGGTTAATTTTGTCCCCAGTATGCGACCTACACCTGTCAGCTAACACCCAGGTATTTACTGCTACGTGAACATGAACAGCAGGTGCCTTAAGGAAACATGCTCCAGTGTTTCCACTCATACCAGGGATCGAACCATGGACACTCGATGTGCGAGCTGAGCGCACTACCAACCAAGCTACAGAACACCTCATTAGTAAAGTAAGTTTATTCAGGTACGAACAAGCACATACAAATACAGTTACATAATTGTATTAATGTTAGTAGAATTACCGACAATATGTTAGGTAAAAGGACACAAGTGCAACTAATGTGACATTTTATTGTGGTAACATTTCGCTCTCCAGGAGCTTTATCAAGCCGTTATGTAACAGCTTGACAAAGCTCCTGGAGAGCAAAACGTTGCCACAATAAAATGTCACATTAGTTGCACTTGTCCTTTTTACCTAACACAGTTACACAACATAACACAGTTACATAACTCAGTCGCTAGCACACTCTGGTCCAGAGTTCAAATCTCCTTCGGTACAGCTGGAAAACATTAGGGATGCGTTTCCATAAGACACCTGCTGTCCCTGTTCGCTCATCAGTTTAAAATGAGTACCTGGGTGTTAGCTGACTGGTGTGGGTCGCATCCTGGAACAAAACTGACCCAATTTGGCCAAAATGTCAGCAGAACAAGTGACTTTCTATATAGTAGTGTGTCACTGATGTCAGCTAGGCCTGTATACCATGTACATGTACTTGTAGTCAATAAAAAATATTATATTATTATATCATACATAGAAGCATGCATGTAGATTACCTAGGATAACCCAAGAAAGTCAGACAAAGTGACAATTTCCATAGGGGTTCTTTGTTATAGTAGTAGTAGTAATAGTTGTTAAAGTAGTAGTAGTAGTTATAGTAGTAATGATAGTACACTATAGGATATGCTAAGTCATCATATCATGTCAACTTTGCCCTTGCTGCAGCTTCAGTTGCTAGGTGCTTGATCACTTTAACAATGAATTGCCCAATGATGAAACTCACTTTACCTAGGTTTGGTAATTTTTTAAAGCCCTTTATATTTGGTTAAAAGGTTTGTGCTACTTACTGCTTGCACTGAACAATTCAAAACTGTATTTACTTGCTCCTTCCTTAAGTGGATGTGATTTGGACCTACATTGCATGGGCCAGTAGGCCTGATGCAGTGCTCCTTTCTCATGTTAAGTATGTTGGTTGTGATTCTTAAATACAGTGTTTCTTGTGATTCTTAAATACAATATTTGAGACAAGGTGGTATATGGGACACTTATTGGAGATTTTGTATACAATATATGTATTGTCTATTTGTTTTACAGTGTCAATTTTGGCATTTAAATATAAATACTGGTAATGATAAACTGTCATAAAGAATTTTTAAAAAAGAACAAAACACCAATTAAAATGCACTGGCATAACATACAATAGTGTTACTTGAGTTACTGTTGCTGATACAACACAAGTCAACAAGTAACACTTACAGTACTAAGTAAGCTTTATTCAAATTAAATGCTTTTTTCATTTGCTTGTTACTTAGGTGATGCAGTAAACTGTAAAACTGCAGTGCAAATGACAAATTTGTATTATCATTAATCATTACAAAATTCTTAAGTTATAGATATAAAAGTGACATTTAATGATGACATTACTGAAACTTATCACAGTAATCTTTTTTTTTTTTGTAAAACTATGTAAAACCATTTGTAAATATACCTTCAATACAGAAATGTAGTATACATTATAAATATAGCCTAACAATTATTAGTATTATATATTGGGGGAGCGCTAAACCCGAAGGGGTCACAACCTTAGTGGGAATACGAATCAATCGGATTTAATACAATGAAAGGGAGGATAGGTTCAATTCCTTGGATGAAGAGCCTTCACTGACATCAAGGGACCTCATATGACAAGAATGTACAGCAATAAATGAAAATAAATTTGCACAAATATTTCCTTGACAACTGATAATTATGCATGTTATGTAAACTATCAATAAAGTGTAGCTTATCTCAAGTTATACATGACTTGATTATTTGCTTACCAGTGAATGTCAGTCTAAACAAATATTTACTGGAAATGCTTGAGACTAGGTATGAGCAGTGTAAGTCAGGGAGACAGGCAGGTTGTGACGGTGTAAATGTTGTGACGGCCTTAGCATGGTAACTTTATGACGCTGCCTCTCCACTACACTAAGTCATTATTTATAATTATAACTAAGCGCTTAACCCACAAGGGTCAGGTCATTAAGTACGCTTATTTAGGTACAGGTACACATAAATACAGTTACACAAATTATCATACATAGTAACGTATTCTTACATTGAGCTGATAAAGGGGCTTTTGGCATGTACAGTACACACAAGTATTATATTCCTTTGTACAAACATGTATCATGCTGAAATAAATTATTATTATTATTATTGTGTGTTATAGTAACATGTGTAAATTACCTAGGATAACCCCAGAAAGGGGAAGTGACTTATTTCCATTGGAGGGCCTTGACCCTATACATAAAACAGGGATTAAAGTAAGCTGTCAGCATATATACACTCAGTGAGATACCTCTCGATGTATATATCCTATATGGCCCCAGGGCCGGGCTATCAACCCCCCACCAACACCTCCCTCCATCAGAGAAATATAATTTTTTCCAAACCACTATCCCACACTTTCCCACAAAGAACTTCATTACATGACAAGCAAACCTTCAACCTACGGTCAAGTATATTAAGGTACATAGATAATTCAGTCACAACATCTCTCTCGTCAACTATGTACAGTGAGGCTCTGACCAGTTAGTAGTGTCCTTGTACACATCTATTTGTTGCTCCTGGAGCTGCCTCTTAACTTGTTGCTTATTTGGTTACCTTCCAAAGTCTCGTGTGATAAGTTATAACATTCTTAAAAATATATATACAAACAGGTTCTGCCACTTCTTTCTTAGGGTCATGGTCATTCCACTTCCTGGACCCCTCAAGGAAGGTTCCTTGATGTTGGTGAGGGGCTCTTGATTTAGGAAATTGGATCTGTGCTCCAGTTCCCCGAATTAAGCCTGAATGCCTTCCACATCCTCCCCCCAGGCGCTGTATAATCCTCCGGGTTTAGCGCTTCCCCTTGATTATAATAATAATAATCTACTTCCTGGAAAAAAGTCACTTTATCTGGCTTTTTTTTTGGGGGGGGGGGGAGAGGGGGTTAGCCTAGGTAATTTACACTATCTATGGTAATCGTACTTATGTGTACCTGTGCCTAAATAAGCTTACTAACTTAAAAATGTGTCCTCTTCTACCACTGCCGCCTCTCGATCTGTCGTTATCAAGTCACCGTTGGTCCTAATTTCTAATGTCATCAGGCGCGGTTAATTTAGTTTCTCCTCATTGTTCATACCCGTTACAGTATTCCCCAGTATTGTCTAGTTGTAAACTTACACATTTTCTTGATGTGCTTAACAAGATATAAACATGTAAATAGTTCATTACCACTGTAACTTTTTAACTATCAGAACTTAGGGGTCCCAGTCCCTGGACACATTATGTCTGTGACTCAACAATCAATATTTGCACCAATAACTCATTACAGTTGTGACCGGGTGTGGAAGTGTGAATTGCTCATTACTCTATAATTTGTTCATGATTGTAGCCAAAGTATAAACGTAAGTAACCATTCTACAGAATTCATTACCTTTGTAACTTGTGAGCTCATTACCTTTGTACCTAGTTCAGCTATCAAAACTTTGGGGGCCCAGTCCCTAGACCCATTACGTACCTCTGTAATCTGTAAATACCTTTGTAACTTGTCATGATTGTGACCAGACTTACCTGGAGTTCATTACCTTTGTAAATTGTGAGTTCATTACCTTTGTAAATTGTGAGTTCATTACCTTTGTAAATTGTGAGTTCATTACCTCTGTAACTTGCTCAGCTATCAAAACTTTGGAGTCCAGTCCCTGGACCAATTATGTACCTCTGTAATCTTTTGACTACCGCCCACAGGATGGGTATGGGGTGCATAATAAACATATTAAACTAACTAACTAATATCTTCTGACTACCTGGAGTCTACCTGGAGGGCATTCCGGGGATCAACGTCCCCGCGGCCCGGTCCACGACCAGGCCTCCCGGTGGATCAGGGCCTGATCAACGAGGCTGTTACTGCTGGCCGCACGTAGTCCAACGTACGAACCACAGCCCGGCTGATCCGGCACCGTCTTTAGATATCTGTCCAGCTCCCTCTTGAAGACAACCAGGGGTCTTCCCGTAATGCCCCTTATTGCTGGTGGGAGGCTGTTGAACAGTCTTGGGCCCCGGACACTTATTGTTTTCTCTTAGTGTACCAGTGACGCCCCTACTTTTCACTGGGGGTATGTTGCATCGCCTGTCAAGTCTTTTGCTTTCGTATGGAGTGATTGCTGTGTGCATATTAGGGACCAGTCCCTCCAGAATCTTCCAGGTATAGATTACGATATATCTCTCTCTCCTGCGCGCTAATGAGTGCAAGTCAAGTGCTTCCAGGCGCTCCCAGTAGTTAAAGGTGTTTGATGGAACTTATACGTGCAGTAAAGGTTCTCTGTACACTCTCTAGCTCTGCAATTTCACCTGCCTTGAATGGGGATGTTAATGTACAGCAGTATTCCAGCCTAGAGAGAATAAGTAATTTAAAAAGGGTCATTATTGGCTTAGCATCTCTTTGTCTTGAATGTTCTCATTATCCATCCTATCAGTTTCCTAGCAGATGTGATAGTGGCATTGTTGTGGTCCTTGAAGGTGAGGTTTTCGGACATTACCACTCCCAGGTCCTTCACATTACTTTCCCTCTCTATTGTGTGATTGGAGTTTGTAGTATACTCGGTTCTAGTTATTATTTCCTCCAGTTTTCCATAACGGAGTAGTTGGAATTTGTCTTCACTGAACATCATATTGTTCTCTGTTGCCCATTATAAAACTTGGTTTATATCTTCTTGGAGCTTTGCCGTGTCCTCAATAGATGACACTCTCATGCAGATCCTAGTATCGTGTGTAAAAGTTGATACACTGCTGTGGTTTACATCTCTGTCTATGTCCCCCCTCAAGGAAGGTTCCTTGATTTTGGTGAGGGGCTCTTGATTTAGGGAATTAGGTCTGTGCTCCAGTTCCCCGAATTAAGCCTGAATGCCTTCCACATCCCCCCCCCGGCGCTGTATAATCCTCCGGGTTTAGCGCTTCCCCCTTGATTACAATAATAATAATCTGTCTATGTCCCACTATGGGTATGGTATGCATAATCAAGATGTTAAACTAAACAGGAGTAAGTTTATGCAGGTACAATTACACAATTTTAAATTATTATAGTTCTCTTATACAGCAACATACGCGTAAATTACCTACGAGTTAAGTTTAATATCTTTATTATATACTCCATAGCCATGGTGTGGACGGTAGCCAAAAGAGACACATAATGGGTCCAGGAGCTGGACTGCAAAGTTTTGATAGCTGTACAAGTTACGGTGGTAATGAGTTATTTACATGTTCATATCTGGCTACAATCGTGGAGTTATTTATGCAGACATAAGTTAGGTGACAAAAGGTATGCTTGTAAAAGAAAAATCTAAGTGGTTATGCGTTATTTATAGTGGGGCAAAGTCAAAGTATTTTTCCAGAATGGTTGATAATATGCCACTGAGAATAAAATACTTTGACATTTCTTGAACATTTCTGAGCAAGTTATCTATGAATTCATTAATTTTATCGCATTCTAGTACATAATGATGTAAACTGTGACAATTTTGTCCATCCGGCAAAATTTACATATAGTTGGTCTACATCATCTGGTGTTGATGATTTAAACTACCAGAGATACTGTTAACTCAGCCTGAGCCGGACAGTGATGATACCCAAAATTACCTGATATAACTCATACCTCTAAAAAAAAGTCAAATTGACTCATTTCCATTCTGGTCCTTGTTGTGGAAAATTAAATTTACCTGGATGTAACTCATAAGGTACATACCAGTAAATAGTAACAAAGATAATTATTCTTTATCAAGGTTACAGAGACAAGTAGGAATTTTAGGACACCTAGGTCGCAAAAAATGTCCCCCTTCAATACCTACCATAATCTATCTCTCCACAAGTCACTCTAGACCCATATTAATTTCAAATAAATATACATCACCAGGAATTCTGGCAAAACATTAATATAAATATGTGGACTGTATATTAAATTTAAAATGTGAATACATATACATTGAAGGAGAATTTATAATAGTAAGACTCACCAATTAGTCTGTAGATTATGGTGTGTCATACCCTCCCTGCCTAAATATGAAGAAAATACTTGCCAGAATCTCAACATAAATAGACAACGACTTAGCTGGGGTTCCTAAGATGTCCTGTTCATCTGCTTAATGCTCACGTTATGCAAGACTGCAAATCCAACAATTTCGGCTCCTATTTGGGAAGTTTCAAACACAATTTAACTTCCAGAGCGACGAAATTTATGCACATTTCATTGGCGTGCCTGTACCACATTCAAAAACAATGGTGTCTCCTCTCTACTCCTCAGTGCAGGCGCAGAGATTCCCTGTCAGTTCACTTCTTTAAAATACACTTTAGAGCAATAGTAATGTATTAATCAGGTATATTTACATTATAAAAAATATACAGCATAATTTTTGGGAAATTATTTTCCACAATCTTAACACCACAGGACATTGAAAAGACAATAAATGACATGCCCATGCACTCTGCCCCAGGCCCAGACTCGTGGAATTCCGTGTTCATCAAGAACTGCAAGAAGCCCCTTTCACGTGCCTTAAGCATTCTATGGAGAGTGAACATGGACACAGGGATCATTCCACAGTCACTAAAAATAACAGACATTGTCCCACTCCACAAAGGTGACAGTAAAGCAATTGCAGAAAATTGCAGACCGATAGCACTAACGTCCCACATCATAAAAATCTTTGAAAGGGTCCTAAGAAGCAAGATCACCACCTACTTAGATACTCATCAGTTGCACAACCCACGGCACCATGGGTTTAGAACAGGTCGCTCCTGCCTAGCCCTACTACTGGAGCACAATGACACAGTATTGGATGCTCTGGAGGACAATCAAAATGCAGATATAGTGAACACAGACTTTGCAAAAGCCTTCGATAAGTGCGATCATGGTGTAATAGAACACAAAATGCGTGATAAAGGAATAACAGGAA